TATTTTAGCGATTACCTGCATAGGTAAAGTTGGTTCATCAAGTGCCGAGAGCCGAGAGCCGAGAGTGCATTTTCTTTAGATCGCACTAGTTGGGGGGGGGGGGGGGGGGGTTAGTTGGAGCCGAGCATATTTTATCCATGTGAGTAGACTTCACTCGCCATGGCCTCCTTGAATCTTTCTTCGAAAGAGGAAAATCTAGATTGATTTAAGGGAGACAGATGCGAGATGCCTTTGGAGTGTGAAAGTTATGTCAGGAGTGAAATGCGCTGGAAAATGTCTACAGGCGGTAATTCATGGTGCGACTTCTAGTCTCATTACCTCATTCTTTAGACTTCGGACTCAACTTCACTCGTTCTGTCTACACCTGAAACCGTGAGATGTAGATAGAGTTGTTGTTCGAGAACTTGCGTAACCGATTACTCCTTACCCTACTAGCCAATGTAGCTGTATAAGTGGTGGTCACCCGAGGACCATGCCACTTGCAAGAACCAGAATTCTAGAAGCAAATAGCCTAGCCTTTCCAATGCAGTCCGGTGTTCATCCTTCCTTGGTGAGCAGGTAGTCAAGGTGGCCTTATTTGGGCAATAGCAAGCTAAAAATTGCAGCAATAATACCCGGTTCTTGTTTGCAAGTTATAGCATGGATAGGGAGATCTATGCAAGAGAGAAAGATCAATGCAAGAGATAGAATACTCCCAAAATTTAGGTTGTCACTTTTAATATGATATTTCGATATAAAAATACCATACGACAATTCTGCTCCTAGAAGATGAGCATATGCATTGTGATGCTTCCATCGTTTTGGATTAGTTTTATTTTGTTGTCTGGATGAGTTCTTTGGGTTACTTGTTTGGAGAAGTTTTATGGACTTCTATGTGTGTGTGTTTGTGTGTGCGTGTGCTTGGACGTGTGCATGTGCATGTGCTTGTGTGAGTGTACATGGGTGCGTCTGTGTGTGTGTGTCCATGTGTGTGTGTGTGTGTGCATGTGCTTGGACGTGTGCATGTGCATGTGCTTGTGTGAGTGTGCATGAGTGCGTCTGTGTGTGTGCGCATACGCACGCGCATGTGTGTGTCTTTACATAAAAGGATTCTCTCATGCAATATTTTCTTAACTCTAAAGTGTTCTTTATCTGCATAATTTTTCCCTTTTGAGATACACAGTTCACCCACTGCCTGCCTCCAATTAAAGCATGGAATAAAACATTGCAATGAAAAGTGCCTAACTCCCTTTATGTGTGTGTAGGGAGAAGGTAGTGATCCCTATGGATAGACAGTTTGTTACACTATCTGGAGACGCTGCAAATCCACCGACAATTTCATGGAATGACACGGCATCCACAACCGGTACAACATCTAAAAGTGCCGCGGTGACTGTCATTGGGAACTATTTCATAGCCACATATATCCAATTTGAGGTATTAAACATTTTCTGATGATGTACAAATATTTTCATGAAAGTATGCATTTTTTTAAAAAATAAATATATAAATGTAATCCATGAATGGGCGACACGTATATGCCTATAATCTGTTATTTGACCATTTTATACCATTCATTTGAGTTGATAAAAGATCTCGCCTGATAGGTAGTCATTTGAGCTTTTTAACATATTTATCCAGACCCAATTCCAGAAATAAGATGTGACACTTTGTTGCCACCATGTGGTTTTCTTGAACAATCTTGAGCACTTGTATTTCTATCCCTTTTACATCATCAACCTTTGTTTCTTGTCTGAGAACATATATCCTTTGGAAGATGGACATTCACAGCTTTCCGACAAGTCCTTGATAATGTCTATCTGGTTTTGCTGCCAAGCTAGCCCTTGGACCAGAGTGTTTTCTGAAGTTTATATGTTTGACCTATTGCACTCTAAACATGTGGCCACTATTAGAAACCTGTTTTCAAGTGCGGTAATCTATTGTATATTACACATGGGAGGAGACATTCAGAAATGGGACTCCATTATTCAAACTTCTACAATTCTATCACGCATTAAATATGCGATATTGGCATGTATAAGCCCATTGCACATTAGATATGTGCCCAAAAGGGCTTTGACTAGAGTCGAGATTTAGTTACAACCATCTGGAACTAGTTCTTGCATCACTTTTTTTCTCTCATACTTTGGTCCTATCGTATTACAAATTGAGCATGTTGCACATTAGCTGTGCGATTTTGTACAAATCGAGCATGTTGCACATGATCCTATCCGTGTACACAAATTGAGCATGTTGCACATGATCCTAATCGTGTCCCAACAGGAAGATTGATGTTTTACTACCAATCACAAGTTTCAGGTTGGGTACAGTATTCTTACCAGAAATTATGATCAAGAGTTACTTCGTAGATACTTTACGCAACACTTTTCTTGGACCGTTTTCAAATTTAGTGCATAAAAAACCAGAGCGACCCAGATGGAAGAAAATAATGGGGAGAGAGAGCTGTTCTAGTATTATATTCCCAAATTTGAAATATTGCGGTATCGCAAATGCCGGACTGATTAAAACTTAAACAAACAAACAAAAAAGGCACAAGGGTTCCAACATTGACAACATCGGACCACCCGAAAGGAAAGAATTTAAGTAATACGTTACCTGTGACATTGAACATATCATGGGGACTGAGTTTAGGGCGGTCCAATATTTACAACATCGAAAGGCCAAGAGATATAGTTGTTTGGTATTTATGATATCGGACGGCCTTGAATAAAACAAAATTATAGGAGGACGAGGGGGGAGGGGGAGAGAGAGAAATTCGCACCTGTTCGATGTTGGAAATGTCGGACTAAGGGTAAAAACCGGAAAAAATGGTGGGCTGGGGGGTGGACCTTGGCATAATATTTGAGAAAATATGGAGTAGACCGTAAGAACGAGCCCTCAAACTGATCCATAAGTATTTTTCCCTTATATTTTTCATCTTTTTCTTTGATTTTAATTATTTTGATATTGTTCCTTTGAATTTAGTTACCAATTTCTTATTTCCTCTTTTGTGTTGGTGATTTTTCTCACATTGATATTGTTTTATTTGGTGATTTCCTTTCTTATTCGAGAAGCTTGTGCACGGTTGAAGAAATTTACAATAACTATTTGAAAAATAAGTATAACTTGCAAATTTTTTTAAAGAAAGCATGTTTTAGAGGACTGAATTAGTGAGCTTGTTCTAAAGGGCTCCTTGACATTGATCTTGTGTTATTCTTTTAATTTACGTGTAAATGCGGTTCTAAGACCAATACCTTACAACAATTATTCATACTTGAATTTACAATAGTTATTCATAATTAAATTAGTTTCTCCCTACTATTTCCAGAGGTATTTTGAACTAATTCATACTTGAATTTACAATAGTTATTCATAATTGAATTAGTTTATTCATCTTACGGCCAGTATTTTGAACTTGTTTTACTTGAAGCTAAGTATCCTCAGGAAGACAGGGAAACCTAAAACACATCCAAATAAAGTTCACATGTGGACCCTTCAGTGAAGGATCATAGTCCTCATCTAAAAAGGAATATGCTTGGCATCATTTCTTGCAGCAACTAAACTGCCATTTCTGTCATGTATTAACAACTTATGCTAACTCTATTATCTCATTCTACATTCATGACAATATACTATTTTATGTAATACTCTTGTACAATGATTTGCTTCATGTCTTACAGAACTCAGCACCAACTCCTAAAAGTGGGGCAGAGAAGGGGCAAGCAGTGGCTGCAAGAGTAAAAGGGGATAAAGCAGCTTTCTATCATTGTGCCTTTGTCGGATACCAAGATACTCTGTATGACCAGCAAGGCCTCCACTATTTCAGCAAGTGCTTCATTCAAGGTACCCTTGACTTCATTTGTGGCAACGGTCGATCCCTCTACGAGGTGACAATCTCTCTCTCTCTCTTCAAATGCAAGTGAATGATAGTAATTGGTATTAATTGCCAAATGCAAGTGTTTGATAGTGTTATGCCTTGGTAGTCATCATTGTAGCATAAGGAGATCATGGTAATTTTTTCTTATTTTCTTTTTCACTTCCTTTGTTCTTAGGATTGCCAATTGAATTTTATTGGCGAGAGCAAATCTTGGATCACAGCCCAAAAGAGAGATAAGGAATCCAATAAAACCGGATTCTCCTTCGTAGGAGGACATATCACTGGACTTGGGCATGGGATGGTGTATTTAGGACGACCATGGGGTCGATTCTCGACAGTTGTATTTTCTAGCACCCAAATGGATCAACTGGTAGAACCTCAAGGTTGGGACAATTTTTGGTCAAATGAAGACCGAAGCAAGTGAGTCTCGCTCTCTCTCTCTCTCTCTCTCTCTCTCTCTACATGCACACACATACACATAGTTAGACATGTGTAGCTGATCTGTTAGAATTATATATCCTTGTCTGCACTTATGATATGCTAGAATTATATACTTGTTGGCACCTCTCTGGCTGGATGGAAAAGTACAAGGGCAATGAGATGGAAAGTTTTTTAAAAATTGGTAAGTTGGGTGAACACTGCCCCTCACAAGAGTATATTGCTTATGCTAAAAAATGAATTTATAGAGGTTGTTGAAGCTTGAGTTGTTTTTCAAGAAGTGGAAGCGAAAATAGGATCCATGCCATCTTTGTGAACTCCGATTCTATTTTATTAGGCTAGAACACAAAAGGTACCCTCTTAAGAGCCATTGTCAGGACAAGAGTAAAATAAAGAGTTGGACCCACTTCTGCAACAAGTGGTCATTGAGCTAAGATTAGAGTTTGTCATAGATAAAAATAAAAATAAAGAGAAAATGAAAACGAAAAACATGGTTTGGATGTAAAAGCATCTATCCCTTTATAGAAGCACGATGTATACCCAATTTTTAACTATGAATTTATCAATTAGTAGGAAAATTTTAACTACCTTTGGTATCTCTTGTCAGGGGGTAATTTAAAGTTAAAAATTATCCATGCCATCTTTGGCTACCAATGCTATCTTTGACTCCAAAGGTTCTATTAGGTTCAAAGTTCAAACGCAATACAGATCCACTCAAGAGCCAAATTGAAAGGATTAGAGAAATAAAGAGTTAGATCAACTCCTACTACCAGTAATGGCTGCGCTGAAATCTGAGTTTATGATGTAAAAGAGGAAAAGAAAGAAATATAAGGAAAACATGGGACACGGTTGGAACGTAATAGCATATGGCTTGATGGCTTGTTATGGAACTGTATAGGATATTATGAAAGTTGTATGCATCTTTAATTATTTCATGTAGGGGGTAATGTGAAGTGTAAATGTTTAATACAAAATGATAGGAAACAAGCCATTTTGATCTTCTATTCCCAAGTTTTTCCATGCTTTAAATATAGACTAATAGTTCATATTAATTTGCTTCAATAGTTGAATGACAATGGCACTATGTCGGTTTGCTTTCTGGAAATACTGTTAGAATTATTTACAACTAAAAATTACGTTTATGACTCTGTGCTATGCCTTTATTTTTTCCCCTAAATTCTTGAGATTCCAAACCCGCCATCCTTCGGATCTTTATGGTATTCTTTGGGTTTGGCAATTTTTGCTAATTTCCTTGTGCTTTGTTAACTCAAATGGTACATACACCCCATTTCCTTTTTCTTTGCCGAATACATCTCGAAACTACTAACATCTGGTTCTCCTTTTGCTTTTAAATTTCTTGGTGGTATTAGGACTATATACTATGCAGAATATGCTAGTTGGGGGCTTGGTGCCAACGACACAGGCAGAGTTCCTTGGTATCATAAGCTGACAGAAGCTGAAGCAAGTACATTCAGAGGAAAAGACTACATTAATGGATCCACATGGATCCTTTGATTGTATTTTCTTTATTTTGTTTCACTGTTACTTTTCTTTTGTATTTTTCTCCACATGAGGTTGGTAATATACATAGGTTGTGGTAATGGGTTTAGTCAAGGTTGTACGGGTCCCCCCCATCCCGTGCCCCTAATTTTTTTTGTTTGTTTTTCATTGGAGCATTTTTTAGCATAGATTAGTGATCTTGTGAGCCCTTCATGCACCTGAGATTAATTAGTTCCCAATTTTCAGCCATTGACTTTGGCTTTGAGATTGGTAAAGGGATGATATAGGGCATCCTAATAATCAGTAAAAGCAAATTCTACTTACCCTTCATCGTCTCGCGAGATGCCTTGTGGGTCTTTCGGTTTAGTTTCTCCTCTACTTACCCTCGATCTTTCTCCTCTACTTATCCTCTATCTCCTCTACTTACCCTCTATCATGAATGAGCATTAATCCCAAGCTTAGAAAATTCCAATTTTTATCAAGTTTCTTTTATCACAAATGAGGATTAGTCCTAAGCTCCCTTTCCCTCACTTCCTCTGCATCTTCTCTCTCTCTCTCTCTTTTATATCTACCTTCTCTTCCCCACAGCCTCTTCACCACTTATCATTACCTAAATGCCTGGTTATCGCTTTGTAGGCAGAGAAATGCAACCCGACATGGAGATATCTGCTGCTTTTTCTATAAAATGAAGCATCTCTATTGAGTGTTTTTGTTATGGTTCAGAAGAGATGCGCACCCATATCAGTTACTGTTTTTAGATTAGAATCATAATTTGGACTGGTAAAAACTTATTGTTACAATCATCACAATCGAGACCCATGCAAGCTTCTTGCTTCATTCTTAAAAATGAACCTGTGCAAAGCTTCTTGATTCAATCTAACAAGAACCTCCA